AGCTTTTGTTGATATCAAACAATAAATGTCTTATTTTAATTAAATTTTTTTTGTAAACCTTTTTTTATAGTTTTTAATGATGCCAATATTTAGGCTGGAACTCCCCTCACTACGAAGGTTCTTGATTTAATTGTTAAATGCATGTTTTAATAATTAATATCAAAAGGCCTATTTGATGAGGGGAATTTAAGCTTAAATACTAACAACGCTGGTAGTTTCAGTGAAGATCAGAAGCTTTTGAATAAAGCTATTGGACCAAGAGATATTTGCTCTAAAATCAAAATAAAATGTGGTAAGGTCAATAGTATTTGATTTTGTAGCAAGACAAATTTTCTTTCTTAGAAAGTTGCTAAGCTTTTTAATTAAGAGATGCAGTTTTCTTGTTATAATCCCATTTTTTTGCGCTAACACGTTTTCTTCATTCAAGAAATCGCTTGCTCTTGATTTAAGCTAATATTGTAATATCCTTAAATGACAATAATAAAGTTTAAATTATAGAACGCTTGAAGATAAACAAGTTATTTATGTCATTTGGTCAAGAAGTGAGTCTTTTTTTGCTGAGCTCATAGTACAATTATAATAATAGTTTATTAGCCCTGACGTAAATCATTTTAGACCCATTTAACTTTTTTATTTAATATAAATTAAAATCATATTTTGCTTACTAACAAAAAAAATGAGCAGGTATCTAATTAACCAACTGAGTTCTCCCAATTAGTTACAGGACATTAAGCCGTTATGCCGCTGGGAAAAGATCATTTCGGTGCATTTCCTGCTGGCAGCAGGCATTAAAGGCGGCATCGGCAGCAAGAACGACCGATACAATAGCCGAAAACAAAAGGCAAAGGCAGTCCACAGTGGGAAAAGTTTAACAGGTCTAAATTGTCAAAATTGTATAGAAATCTGCATTTGGTTTTATAAAAAAACGATAAAATTAAGCATAATTTTTGACGGAAATATAGTGAGTTGTTTTATTACAAATTGTATCTGACGTAATATAAAAGGTTTACTTATAGAGACGTTTAAACTTTTATTTAAAAAAGAAACACATTTAAGACATTTATTCAAATATAGAAAAGTTAATATTTGTCTCACTGTGCGATAGTTGCCTTACTCCAGTTGGTAATCGATAATGGGAGAGGCAGCAGGATTGTGAGGCCCGCTGTACAGCCAACAGGTAGCATTTTGAAAAAGGTGTCTGTTACTGTGCACAGGGTTGAATTTTGATAATTTATCGGGAAAAAATTTAGAAATATAAAGTGGTGCCGTGACCAGGATAAAAATTTGAAAACACCACCCAGTGGTTATTATTGTGTTAACAGCTGAAAATAGATGTGCAATATATAAATTCCTAGGATATTTAGGATGCATTGTTGATATTATAATATGTAAAATATTTGGTCGACTGGAATCCACTTACTTCATTGTGACACTGCTGTCAATGTTTGTTACTGTCATTATTTATTATTTAAAGTTATATTTTCCCCTTCTGATTATGCCGAAATGATGATTATGTATGGGGAGTATGGGCAATGCTAGGGAGGCAGCACGAGTTTTTTTCCTAGCGCTTTCCCAAACGTCCCCTGTACTGTAAAGTTTTTCTGCGTTGTAACGAAATTAAAGGTTCCCCTTAACGTATTAGAACAGCGGAAAATAAAGAAGCTATTTTCAATGCCTTTGATGCAAATAGTAGGAAGAGCATAGGAGAAGTTGCACGCGAATTTCCCGTTCATAGTTCAGCAGGTTATGAAGGTCATTATACGCGAGTGCAGCACCTGCAGCCGGAAGATAATCCCGCTAGAGTGGAATTCTAAAGTGGTTGCTAGAGATTTTGGCTCTGGGGTACAGAACTAGTTTAATTTTTACTTTAAAACATTGGCGTCCTACGTCCTAAGTATGACATTCTTTACAATCTAAAATTACTATACAAAAATTATATTTTGTCAAATATCTTCCCACAAAAGTGCATTTTTTGCTATAAAACTACTGTGCGGGCGGCTCACTGGCTTTGTCGGCTCCCGGCCGACCTGGGACCCTACTTTTCAATGTTCGTTCGGTGTCCTCGATTCAAGGTGTACGTGTACACCGTACATAAAACTGGGACTGGGACAGGGACTGGGTCAGAACTTACCTTAACCGTTCCAACGTAATTCTAATTGGTCCGGAATGTGTCAAGGTGTATAAAATTTAACTTTTAAGTAGTTTAAAAGTTTTATGGATGTACGTAGCTCTACTGCACAGTTGCATTTTATAGTTCAGAATTATAAATTAAATTTAACGTTATAAAGGGGAAAGAGAGATGCTTCCAGCAAGGTCCTTGAAATTTCAGAATCGGGTTACTGACAACTCACAGAGGCCTTTTTATAAAAAAAGCCTAAAATTATTCTTGTCTTGTGGTCTTCAGGTTAAATAATGGCTTATAAAAAGGTCCTGGACTTTCTATAGGTTTCATGTTTTGATTTCCTTATTTTTCATTTTTAATAATTCATAATGTTTAAAAGTTTCTGCAAGCTTGTTAGCTCGTCAGAAATAAGAAAACTCAATGAGGTTTCATGTTTATCAGCAGTTAAAAGTAAATTTATTTCTAGTCGGCACACCTTTTAGTAAAGCTCGTTACGGTTTCGCCTTATAAATAACTTAGTTTGAGTTTAAACATGGATTTGTTAATATTACACAGTGGGATTTTATTATATTTGACATTTAAAAATTTAAATTGTTAAATCAATCCAGGTCCAAAAACTTTCTAACACGTAGTGGTCCAGGTGCTTCATCTTGTTGGAACATCAAAGTATTGAACAGTAAGGGATCAACTACATCTATACTACATCTACACTCAGTTTCAAAAGTTTTGCACTACTTTGTAGTTTCATCTGGAATTTATCGCATTTAATGGTAACAAACTATCCTCTTTCATTTAGATAATTGACTGTTTTTATAAAATAAAAAAGTTTGTTGATACTTTCCCAATTAGAAGATAGGGGGGCAAAAAAAAATATTGACAGGTAAATATATTTATACAAACAATCTAAGAACTTTTAACACTTTATTTTTTAGTAACTTGTATTGCCACCCCTGCTCTGTAACAATGCATAAATACGTCTGGGCATAAGGTTATTAAATAACCGTTATTTAGGTATTCTTAAGAAATGTTATTCCATTCCTCAACAGCGGCTACTATAAGCTCTTGAACATTCATGAGAGGGTTTAAACGGTTACAATTTAATCTGGATAAATAATCCTAAACGTGTTCAATGGGCTTCATGTTCGGGGGAGAGGTGGCCAATCCATTCTGTTAATTTCACCCTCTCGCAAAAACTCTAGGATAGCTCTAGTTCGATGTGAACGGGGATTGTCATCCATAACGATGAAATTGGGATCTACTTTATCACGAATTGGTTGAATAATAGGCCGAATGATTAAATCCATGTAAATTTGTCCAGTTATAGTGTCAGGAACATGAACCAGTTTTCTTCCATACATGATTACTAGGGATGGGATATTTAGGTACTAAAAACTGAAAAATAGGTTACTAAAAAGGTACTAAAAAAAAAGCATTTTAGGTTAAAAAAACAGCATTTTAGGTAAAAAAAAATCATTAAAAGTTTAAGTTTCGTTTATAATTTTGTTTAGCCGCATACCCAAACACAGAACATACCCACAATAAACTATTTCTATGCAATAAACTGTGTTTTACTGAGTGACACTCACTACACAGAAGTTCTATGACAGAACATAAGCTCACTAGTAGTGAGTAACTACAAAGAAGGTAACTGTAAAGAAAGTTACTGTTACAGTCTGTAACCATAAGAAAAAATTTTATACCGTTGAGTTGCACGCCCTGGATAAAATATTGGCGCAAATTTTAAAAAGAACAAAAAAAATAAAATAAGTAAAAATACGTAAAAATAGGTAAAAAATATGTGAAAATAAACTGACAAATTAAAAAATATGTAACAAAAGTATAAAAAGGTAGTTTAAAGCAAAAACCTCCAAAAAAGGTGAAAAAAAGTTAAAAAAATAGGTAACAAAAGTATAAAAAAAGTAGTTAAAAGCAAAAACCTCCAAAAAAGGTAAAAAAGGTGAAAACAAGTTAGGTTCATATAAAAGAAAATCTTTTAAAACACATTTTGGCATTATTGGTTTTCAAATAGTTACATCGGTTAAAAAAAGGTAAAATAACTAAAATCCCATCCCTAATGATTACACCCCAAAATATTTCGCCTTCAAATGGTACCACTTCTCTGGCAAAAGCAAGTCGCTGGTGTGCTCCCCGTTCTCTCCAGACACGACAATGACGGTCGTCACTGACCAATCAAATCTTTGTTTCATCCGATAACAGAACATTTGACCATTGAAGCAATAACCAGTTTTTGTGATTTTAAGCCCATTCTAACCGCAAATGTCTATGTTTCTCCTAGTTACTTGGCTTAAATATTGGTCTTCCCTTTAGGTTGTAACCCTTGGACGCCCACTTCGATGTCTACTTTCCACAGAACCCGTCTCATTATGCCTTTGATTGGTCCGAGTAACCGTACTATGGTCACAGCCTCATCTATTAGCTATTCGTCGATGTGACTGACCTTCTTCAAAGAAAAAGATTATTTGCAAACGAATTTAATTGCTTAGTTAAGCTCGAGGCATTTTGAAGAGGATTTTCTGCCAGGAAAATGAGTGCAACCACACGATCTCCGGAATAGGTTGAGTCTGAAAATCAGATGTTAAAAAGCAAATCGTCGTCATGCCATAGGTTCGCAAAACTTTAGCCGTTCCCCACAAAACTGAAGTTCTCCTCTGTTTCGTTTTCGTTGAGCAACCCTGTATAACAAAATCTAATACTAATTGTTTTTTGTAGATAACTTCAAAAATATGTTGTTTTGGATACTGCTTTGAAAAAGTAAAGTAAAGTAATATTATGTATTTAATCTACTAAGGTTATCATTTTTGAACTTTGGATTTTTTCACTTTTTGATTGTACATAAGTAAATTTTGTGTTTAGATTTAGTTTGTTTGGTAACTTGCTGTAAGTAATAAGGTAAACAAAATGAACACTTTTTAATTTATGGTTTTTGCATTCATACTATTTTTATTTAAGGATGAAGCTTTTAATTATTTTATCCATCCTCTATGCCCAAGCATACGGAGAATGTAGTTTGTGGGGCATAGATCCTGTACCGAAACCTTTCATAGTCGACTGTAATGGCACTTCTCCGGATAAAAGTGACTTTCTAAACTCCTACAACGAAAACAAACCATTCGACTTCGTGACCAGATTCTACTGGAAAAACTTCAAAGGCGAACTTAACTCAGACATGTTAAAAACGCTACCAAAACTTCGACACGTTACAGTCAGTAAATGCGAATTTACCACACTTCCTGACAATTTTTTTGAGGCCGATGCCGAAACATTAGAAACCATTGAGATCAGGGACAGCAAAATCACAACCATTGAAGCAAATGCTTTCAAGAACCTCAAACATTTGAGGCTTTTGAGTCTACATGGCAACAAAAACGTTAAGGGGTTTAAATTGGAAAATTTGAGAGGTTGCGATGGTTTGGGATATATAGGAATGCCCACTGATACGTTCAAAACTATGGATGTTTCGAAGTTGAAAATTTGGTTCCCCAAATTGATTACTATAGTTCTCCCTGGAGAAGATAAGGAGTCTGTGAAGGATAAAATAAAGGAAGTTGAATCTCAAACCACAGGCATTGGGATACATTTTGAAGAATAGGAAGAGAAATCAAAAAAAAATTCTACAAACTAAAATTATGATAATATTGAACATAAATATATTTATATATACTAAAAATATACCACAATAGTTTTCTTGTTTTATTGCTACTAATACAAAAATAAGAATTCTTTCATTTAAATCCAAATATGTTCATGACTTTCGAGATATTTTGACCCAACGTACATACTTTTATCTAAACACGGGCCTTATAAGTAAGGCATGTCCCGACAACATATTATTTTTAAACTTTAAAGATTTCATCGTGAGATATTTCTTAAACAACTCTTGGATATTAGTTTTCTTTTTTCATGTATTTGCATATAAAAATGTCTCGACTTAATGAAAAATTCTTATATTTATTTCTTTGCGTGGGATGTAAAATATTGTTTTGATTCCCACACGTACTATATTCCGCGCCCCAACAAATTTGGGGAATTTTCTTAGTTTTATTAAATTATTTTTATAGGCTATTTTAAGCTAATTTCCATGAGATAATTGAATGATTCAATTGTACTATTTCAATGTTCTGAAACGTATTAATTTCAGGGATCACAGTATTTTTCCCGTCTTTCAGTTGGTATCAGATAAATCCGATACGATTTATTTGGATGTGGTCGTAATAAATTTTATCTGGAACACAGAAAAACCGATATACGCCGCAGTAAAAAAAATCCCGCAACACAAAACATTAAGTCTTATTTATAACGCGACAAAAAACAACGGAGAATTTTATCATAGAAAAAGTTATCTGTGAAATAAGGTGCGAATAGCGTGGCCTGGACTAATTAAGAATCGGTTTGTGGGGATATTAATCGCGATAAATTTTAATCACTTATGGGCATGTTTTAATAACAAAACAACCAGAGTTGTTTGTTGAGATTTCGCTCATGGAATTAGGTTAAACAATAAACCAGATCCATATGAATGGGTTTAAATTAATTTGCTATTCTTAAATCGTCCTAGTAAAAGTTTAAAAAAACGCGCGCAAAAATTGGATAATCCATGAATATTATTATCTTCTCCATAATATCTAATCTAAAACGTTTACTAGGACATTCTTAAATGTGACTAACATTCTTAAATGTGACTAACACTTTTAAGGAGGTTTGACATTTTTTGGTAAATTTAATATTCTTAAATGTGATTTTAACATTTTTAAGTAGGTTTGATATTTTTTTGTAAATTTTAGACATTTTTAAGTAGGTTTCAAATTTTTTAGTAAATTTTACATTGTTTAATGTATTTTGACATTTTTAAGTCAAAGTTTTATTCTTAAATATGAATTTGACATTTTGTAGTAAATTGTATATTCCTAAATGTGATTTTTGGAAAGCAAATTTGAGATTCTTAAATGTAACTACCATTTTTAAGTAAGTTAGACATTTTTTTTGAATTTAAGATTCTTTAACATTTTTAAGTAGGTTTGATACTTTTTAGTAAATTTGGCATTCTTAAATATGATTTTGACATTTTAAGTAATTTTGAAATGTTTTATTAAACTTTACATTCTTAAATGTGATTTTGGAATATTAAGTGATTTGATTTTTTTGTTAAATTTTCACACATTCTTAAATGTGATTTTGACATTTTTAAGTAAATGTTTTATTCTTAAATGTGATTTTGAGATTTTTAAGTGGGTTTGGCATATTTTTTTATTAAATTCAGAATTATTTTAGTAAATTTGTCATTCTTAAATGTGACTTTAACATTTTTAAGTAGGCTTGTATTTTTTTGATAAATTTTACATTTTATTACGTGATTCTATTTTTTTTTTTTAATGTGATTTTGACATTTTTAGTAAATTTGTAATTCTTAATGACATTTTTAAGTAGGTTTGACATTCTTTGTTAAATTTTACACTCCTTAATGTGATTTTGACATTTTTAGGTAAATTTTAAATAAATTTGGCATTAAATGTTAACAGACAACCCAAACTGTCCAACTTGTGGGACACCCGAAACGGTAGAACATGTCTTACTACACTGCCAAAAAACCAAGATGAAAGAGAGAAAACAGAAAGAAAAACTGGAAGGACCATCATTGAAATGCTAAAAGATATAGAATACAATTATATAAAAATGAAAAACTTTTTACAGACAGTCCCTGAGCTCTAAAGAAGGTTTTATTGCATAGCCATGGGCTAAAACCTTGTACATATTTTAATATATATTTATTGTAAATATGTACTGAATTGAATAAATAAATAATGGCATTAAATGTGATTTTAATATTTTATAGTAGATTTTACATTTTTATACGTGATTTTTTTAGTAAATTTTGAATTCTTAAATAAGATTTTGACATGTTTAAGTTAATTTAACTTTTTGTCAATACTATACGGGGTGGTCCAGGTTGTATATAACCTGGACCACCCTGTATAGACTATACAGTATAGTATGGTATGAATAATTTATTAACCATTCGATGGTCCATCAAATCAATAAAGTGACATGCATTATTTTATTTTTTTCAAAAAGGAGTTCAGTTTTAAAAATCATAACTCTCAAAACATTAAAGTACTTATATTAAAAAATAGAAGCATTTAAAAAAAAAATTTCTTCATATCGACTTATTAGACAATCGAATGGTGAGTTATTGCTACTATAACTTGGATCACCCTGTATATGGAGTACCTTTTGTTTTGCAGTGTTTATTAATTAAACTGCATGTATAGTTTCTCCATTCTCTATTTGCATATTTCCCTTTACATATTATAAATTCCTGAACAACCAAGCCAAATACTTCCCTCAGTGTACCTAAATTCCTTAACCTCAAAACCGTTTTCCACCACCTCAAGGGCTTAAAAAATGTTTAAGCCAATTATGCCATGTAATATAATACATGCTTTATTTTATGAAAGACGTATAAGCCGCATAACTAATGATGAAAAATCCTAATATTATTTACTTGATCTCTTTGAGTTTAGCTTTTCAGCTAACAAGAATTTTATCATCATCCCTTTTTTATACCCCAAAGCATACGCTCCTTTATGTATCCTTTGTGGCAGTCGAGGATTTTTTCATCTCCGCTGACATGTGAGCTTTACGAATCACTTAAATCATTTGAAGTACATAAGACGTGTTCCAGCAGAAAGTTTAACTTTGAGTTTAAAAACAAGGTTTAAAAACGAAATTATTTATCATTTTTATTGAGTTGTTAAATTCTTTGAGTTACGATTTGACTCCACTAGATTAATTTTTCTGGATTTTGAGTTCTACAACTTTAACTACAGTATGAAACCGATAAATACAACTTTATAAACAGTGTTTACTTTATTTAACTTTCATTGGGTGATAAAATACAATAAAGACTATAAAAGAGTATTTTAAATTATGGCGCCCATTTCGAGACAGGAAAAAATAAATTATCGCGACCTTTACATTTTGTATTTTAAAATGTGGTTTTGAAATGTTTTAGTAAATTTGATATTCTTAAATGTGATTTTGACATTTTTAAGTGGGTTTGATATTGATATTCTCAAATGTGAATTTGACATTTTTAAGTAAACTTTGTTTTCTAAAATGTGATTTTGACATTTATTAGTAAGTTTGATATTTTCAAATGTGAATTTGACATTTTAAAGTGACTTTCATATTTTTTTGTAAATTTTAAAATCCTAAATGTGAATTTGACATTTTTAAGTAGTTTGACATTTTTTATTAAGTTTAATATTTTCAAATGTGAATTTGACATTTTTAAGTTAACTTGGTTTGACATTTTTTAGTAAATTTTAGATTCTTAAATGTGATTTTTACATTCTTAGTAGATAAATTTGTAATTATTTATTAGTAAGTTTGATATTTTCAAATGTGAATTTGACATTTTAAAGTGAGTTTCATATTTTTTGTAAATTTTACAATCCTAAGTGTGATTTATATTTTTAAGTAAGTTTGTATTTTTTTGTTTAAATTTGGTAAATGTAATTTTGACATTTTTAAGTAGGTTTTTACATTTTTTTAGTAATTTTGATATTCTTAAATGTGAATTTGACCTTTTAAAGTTAATTTTGTATTTTAAAATGTGATTTTGACATTTTAAGTTAATTTTATATTCTTTAATATGATTTTAACATTTTTAAGTAGGTTTGTATTTTATTGTTTAATTTTACATTTTAATATGTGATTTTACTTTTTTTTTAGTAAATTTGGCATTCCTGAATGTAATTTTGACATTGTTGTGTTTTTAAATGTGAATTTAACATTTTTAAGTAAATTTTGTATTCTAAAATGTGATTTTGACATTTTTAATTAGGTTTTCCATTTTTTAGTAAATTTGATATTCTTAAATGTGATTTTGATATTTTAAAGTGAGTTTCATATTTTTTTGTAAATTTTACAATCCTAAATGTGAATTTGACATTTTTAAGTAGGTTTGACATTTTTTATTAAGTTTGATTTTCTCAAATGTGAATTTGACATTTTTAGTTAATTTTGTATTCTTAAATGTGAATTTGACATTTTTAAGTAAACTTTGTATTCTTAAATGTAAATTTGACATTTTTAAGTAGGTTTGACATTTTTTTAGTAAATTTTACATTTTTAATTGTGATTTTTATATTCTTAGTAAGTAAATTTGTAATTCTTAAATGTGATTTTAACTTTTTTATGTAGGTACTCTCTAAAAGTGAAAAGTGAAACAGTGAAATTTTCACTATTTCCGTCAGTGAGTTATTCACTGTAAAATTAGTGTTTTTCAATATAAATTAGTGAAATTTTAACTTCTCCAAATTAGTGTTTTTTATTATCACTACTTTTCCGGAACTCGACAAAAAATAGTGAAATTTTAACTTTTTTGAACTAAACCTATTTTACTTATTTGTACAGTGTAATTTCCACTAAATAAATTAGTCCAAAGAAATCGCTACATGAAAAAGTGAGTATTCACTAATTGCTAGTGGTATACTTATCACTGCGGCAAATAGTTAATATGCACTGTCAATCAGTGAAAATCCACTGTTTCATTTTTAGGTTTCTATTTTAGGTTTCTATTTTTTTTTTAATTTTACATTTTAATATGTAATTTTACAGTAGTAAATTAGCATTCCTTAATGTAATTTTGACATTTTTAAGTAAATTTGGTATTCTT